ACCCTACCCCCCAGTGGTTTCAACTAAGCACCGGCAAAGCAATTCAGCCCCGGCAATGCCAAATACGCGGGTAACTATGATGAAGGGCGTTCAAGAACATCATTAAATGCACACTTGCCCACGATTTTGAACTCACGAACGGCAGAAAAATGCGGTGAATTTATTGAGGTGCGTGCCTTTAAGATTAAATTTGTGTTTTTAAATGTCTGAAGCTGGTCATATCACATGAATGAGCGCATTTCAAATTGCACACAATATTCCGCACTTTAAACTAGCCTTGTATTCTCTGCTACACAGTGTTTTTATCAAGCATTTTTCGTTTTTCATAGATAAGACAGCAGTATTAGCCTTATCACTCGGAGAACGACCAGGAGAATGGAAATATAGTTGGGTTGATACTTCGGCAACATGCCTTTATCAAAACAAGAGCAGAAGTGAATAATCCTCGAACCCTCACGAACGAATCTTAATAATCTAAACCCAACTGTGTCTCCATTCTCCTGGTTTTTCTCCGAGGTATCAGGCTAATACTACTGTATTATCTACGTGAATCATGTTCCTCGCTAGTGCACTGAACAGCTTACGTAATTTTTCCGTTCTGCTGTTGTGTTAGGAAAAAATGCTTGCATTTTCTGAAGTAGCAAGGATCTGCCCGTGACCTTAACTTTATGAGATGAACAAATTTGTCACGGTCGACGTGCATACACAAGCTTTGGACGGGCGTGTTTCTCATACACAAGGAAATCTTCACAAGCATTTCTCTTCATGGTCTATATCTCACAGTTTGCTGATATTGGCTTCAATTTTCAATTCAATATTACAAATTTTACAATATTACATATACAATATTAACAACAACAATACAACAAAAACAATACAATATTACAAATATTACAAAAGGCAACAAATTCAATAACAATATGATTAAGGTCCGATTACGTGCTAGTAATGTTACCTGCTGCCTTGCTCTTCATTGCCACCAGTCATTGAAAGTCATTTTCTACTAATTAATATTGAGTCAATGCTGGTTCAACCAAAATACGCAGTAAGAATTAAATTAACTTTGTGTCTTAATTACGTCAAATCTAGGGATTTGAATCTAGCTTAATTCACTAGAAAATTAGAAATCTTTTATTCCAATCTGGATAATCCAATCACGCGCGAGTCCAGTTCCCTTCTTTTCTTAACTTAAGTCATGAGATCGTGCAACAACCCAGCTGATTTGAAAATGTAACAGACTGGAGACTTTAATATGCTCTGCTGGAAACGGCCCCCCCCCCCCCCACAAGACGCAGCTCCATCGCTACCAGGTATGCGTGCATATCCAAAGAGGCATCCAGTTTCCACTCTTCGTTTGTCTTTGGGTGGATCGCGTATCGTATGACGCGTATTAACTTCTGGTCTCAACCAGCGGAGAGTCCTGGAAAGTTCAAGCAAACAATAAAAAAACAGGGTGCTGGAAACTGCGATCGGTCAGCCATTTCTTAAGTCCGACTGTACTTCGGACACCGGACCGGACCGGACAGCCTACAGTGGAAAGTTAAAAGTTAGTAGCGACATGAGCTAGCGCACCTCCCCGCGTTCTTAACGTGATTTGCTCTAGCTCGTTTGAATAATATGTCACAGCCTCGGACGCCGAGGTGCTCCATGGTGGTAACCATCTGGCGTGCATAGGGACTGGCACAGGGCAGCGCACTACCGTCCCACCCATCCCACCCACCCGGGTTTGTCATCAGCCCGTCCATAAATCCCTTATAGCCCCACGAGGTAACCTGACGCCAAAGCGTTCTATATAGATCATTCCATGCTGGATCTGAAATTCGCTATCATGGGACATTGAGTGACATGGGACATTGAGGACATTACCCATCCTTGTTAGTCTTCCGTTGATGAGCAGCGTCGTGCCTTCTTAGGGTGCATCGCTACCTCTAGAGACGCGCTTTTGGATCGCTAACCCAACCGCATTGAACCTGCGACCTGTCGGTGTGCTTTGTGCCTTGCTGTGCCGGTCGTGCCAAGTTTACCCGAGTCAGAAATGTCAGCAATTTCTGAAATTAACATTGTTGAGAGCATAGCAATGCACTGAAGGCTCAATGAAAATGGAAAGGCTATCAAATTGAGGCATTTCCCAAGCAAGATTCGCGGAGAACATCCCGTCGGAGAACGTCCCAACGTCGGAGAACGTCTCATCCTGAGCATCAGAGAACGTCCCATCCTGAGCATCAGAGAACGCCCCATCCCGAGCATCAGAGAACGTCCCATCCTGAACATCAGAGAACGTCTCATCCTGAGCATCAGAGAACGCCGCATCCCGAGCATCAGAGAACGTCCCATCCTGAGCATCAGAGAACGTCTCATCCTGAGCATCAGAGAACGTCCCATCCCGAGCATCAGAGAACGTCCAATCCCGAGCATCAGAGAACGTCCCATCCCGAGCATCAGAGAACGTCCCATCCCGTCCCATTTGTCCCGTCGGGTCGCGACAACCCCCGCCTGGCGAAGCGCCGCCCTCTGTAACGCCCACGCCGCAGGCCGGCGAGCGGTGATGGGGGGGGGGGGGGGGGGGGGGGAGCGCATCTGGCTCGCTGCCGGACCTCACGCCCGCAGGGAGGACACAGCCAGGGACAACAGGCCGCATCTGCCGCAGGCCGCCGGCCGCCGATCCCGCCTGTAACGTAACACGCCGCCGGGAGCGCATGGCGCAAACACACTCGGCTGCCGCGGACTGATTGGGTGGCGTGACGTCATCAGCCAGGCAGCCCGCGTCCCCTGGCCGAGCGGGCCGCCCGAGCCACGTGTGGGCCGGGCCGGGCGCACGCGCCGGGCGAGGGGGCGACTTTGAAACGATTGGCGCGTAAAGATCCAGCTGGTGTCGTCATCTTTGCAGTTGCTGCAAAGGTTTGAGCCATCGAGGCAATTTGCGTTTGGGGGAATGCGGGTGCAGCAACTCCCATGCTTCATATGACAGGCATTCCTAAGATTCTTGCTCTAGTCGTTCGCTCCGTATTTCTGCACCACTTTGATTTTGATTTGAACCCTGATTTCGGTTCACCCCCGTCACTCCCGCAGCACTAAGGCGTAGTCATTGGTGTACAATTTTTACAGCGCGGCGAACCGAAGCTATCAGTGCATAGGCAACCTCTGTGTTGGTAGCCTGATCGCGATCATCAACCGACCAAACGCCCTCCGACGGGGGTGTCACTTGATGTCCTCTCGGGGTAGGGAAAGCTGAGTCCCCCCCCCCCCAGCGCTGAGTGGCCCCCTCAATGTTCTTCTGAATCCTTTCGATGCATATGAGCAAAAAGGAAATACTGGGCCAAAAAGTGTAGAGATATCCTCGTAACTATTGCTATGCTAGGCACCTTAACACACCACTATCAATATCATGCTCGTTTTGTGCCAAATAGTATTCCGCACGTTTGAAAACAAGACCAAGGTTTGGACGGGCTCACGACCTTTTGCTGTCGCTGTCCAGCCCCTTGAGTACAGATTATTGTGGGTGTGTAGCAGACCGTCCCTAGAAGCCGGACGTCCACACCATCTCACTTTCTTTCGTGATGTTGACTGCAGTCCTACCGACCCCCCCCCCCCCCCACCCCACTTGTTGCAATACCTTCCGCCATTACACTGGTACGCATTAACACCGCCAGTCGCCATTTCAGTTAGCATATGCTTCCGTGAGTGGCCCTAGATGCGTTTAAGTGCTTCTTATTCGTCATTATCCGTTATGAGCACCAGCACGTTACTGCCGAGGGGAAGTATTGGCGCTAACGCTGTCTCACTCCGCCCTCACCTTTAATGCGGCGTAATGACCGAATGTGCGGTCTGTCGTGAGCGCGACGTGTGTTTAGCGCTTTCAGGTGGTTGGGACACCGTAGACTTCTTAACACTAGCATTACCGTTGCGTACTCGCGATTTCGATAGGCTTGTCTTTTGGTGGTTTGTCTCCATGGCTTGTCTTACGTCCTCTCGTGGCACGCATGTCACATGACTTCCATTTCTATTGGACACTGCATGTTGGTAACTGATGAACAGGACTAACCAAATGATGGATCCGTCATGGAAAGGTGCAGAACATTTGAACGACGCAAACAAGAGGAATTGGGGTAAACAGAAAAGGAATTATTAGACCGGACCAAACAACTCCTTCAGACACGTGCTTGTTGCACTTACCGATGCCCTACTGGCAAAAATTACGTGAGATGTCATTTTAAAGGAATCAAGTAAATCCCACATCACGTGAGATTTATTTTCAAATATTGAAGTATTACTGTTCCAGCTTTCCATTTCGACATCTCTTACACTACATCTTCGGTTCCAACATGTGTCACATGTAGATCAGCTTCAGCGTCGAGCAAGGGTGGCTTTCGTAAGGCCCTCCGTCGTCTGCCCGTCTCTCGGGGGCCGCACACTGGACTCTCTCAGCGGCCACGCAAGGCCCTCCGTCGTCCGCCCGTCTCTCGGGGGCCGCACACTGAACTCTCTCAGAGGCCACACCCCCACACAACACGCCATGGGAAATGTTCGTACGTGTATTCGCCACAAGACGGCTCTCTACATGCAGTCGTCACCCTCCCCGGCACAGGCGGCGCGAACGGAGAGCGTAAAACCCGCGAGGAAAACGCCGCGAGCGGCCCGTGCGCGACACACGGCCACAACCTACACGCGTCGCCCAGACAGCGGACACCTGTCGGTCACCCGGGTCGTTGCCACCCCGACCCTCCCCCCCCCCTCATCGTCATCGTCCGGGGGCCACCACAATGAACCCGCCCCTCCCCTCGGCAGCCACCAAACGACGTCGCAGGACGGCCGCCATGAACCCTCCCTTCCCCTCGGCAGCCACCGCACGACGTCGCCTGGCGGACCGCCATGAGCCCCCCCCCCCCCCCCCCGTTCCCCTCGGCAGCCAACGCACGACCGCTCCCGAAATCCCCACCCTTCCCGTGGCAGCCGCCGGAGCAGCACCTCCTCCCACGCGCTCGCACCGGGCGCCGGCGCGCTCAGCGCTTGGATTTCTTGCGGATCTTGCGGCTGGGGGAGCGCGACCTTGAGCGGGAGCGGGAGCGCCGGTGCGGCGGCGAGCGGGAGCGAGAGCGCCGGTGGCTGGGCGACTTGGAGCGACGCCGGCGGCGCGGTGAGTGAGACCGCGAGCGGCGGCGCGGTCTGCGGCAAGGGCGGCACTGTCAGCGGCGGCGGCGGCCGACCGGGCGCGACGCCACGTGACACGGCGTGACGAACCATGCGAAGGCGCTACTGACGGCGCACGGCAGGCACAGAACACGACAGAACGCGTGTACGTGTGTGTCCACAAATGTGTCACGAAAAAGACAGCAGATCATGGTTGATAAGCAGCTAAGTTGTAAGTGAGAAATCGCATGGGGGCAAGCAAACGACAATCAACTATAACAAAGAACCGCAAGAACACGATCAATTCTTAAACCATTGGAAGCTGTTCCTGATTACAGCATGCCCACAACCCGCCCTTCCTCACCACGTCTAATCCCCTAGTCCCTACACCCAGAAACTTAACTCCACGGATTCTTCCCCGGCCCGCCGACCTTACCCGACCCCGGCGAGAGCACAGCGGGCCGGCGGCGGTGGTGCGGGCGACGCGCCCCATACCTGTCCGCCTTGGGCGAGCGCGAGCGGCGCCGGCTCGGGTACGAGTGGTGGCTCTCGCCGTCCGAGCTGGACGCGCTGCGGTCGCGGCGCCGCTTGCGGTCCGAGAGCTGCCGCTCCGCCTGCGGCAGGGCGACGGGCGATGAGAGCGGGCGGGGGCCGGGCTGAACCGCGGCCGGCAGCAGGCTGACGGCAGACGCACGGCCGGACCGCGGCAGACACACAACACACGGCTGGACCGCGACAAGGACCAACACGGCTGGACCGCGACAGACACACGGCTGGACCACGACTCCCGGCTGGACCGCGACAGACACACGGCTGGACCGCGGTAAGCACACGGCTGGACCGCGGCAGACACACGGCTGGACCGCAACACACGACTGGGCCGCGACAGACACACGGTTGGACCACAACTCCCGGCTGGACCGCGACAGACACACGGTTGGACCACGGCAAGCACACAGCTGGATAGCGCCCGGCAGCAGACCGTCGACAGACACGCCAATGGACCGCGGGGCGACCCTCCAGATCTCCTAGACGACCAGGTCCCCGTCCCCCCCAATCGCCCCGCACGCTCCACCCATCGACCAGACAGCCGCCGCGGAGGCGACGAGTCGCCTCCCACGCCGGCCAGACGGACCGTCGGCGCGGACCCTCCGCCCCCCCCCCCGCACCCTCCCCACTCGCTAACGCGACGACGGCCCAGTGGGGAAGCCGAGGTCACCCGACCCAGCGTTAGCGGAGACCTCCCCAGACGCGACGAACAACAGCGCGACGGAACGAGCAATAGCGGCAGCCGCCGAGCCAGCGGCGGTAAACAATGCCGCCGGAAATAATGGGCCGCCAGCACTGCCGCCGGCACCACAATGCGACCAGCGCCCTCACCACGCACGCCTCCGACCAGGCGCAGCTTAGGGACAGACTCAACCGCCGGCTGAAGGCGGCTTCACAGCGCGTTTAATAACACCTTATTCGAGAACCGGACTTGGCGAAGGCGCGGGGAACGGCGCGTTACATGTGCCACGATGAGAGGAGGGGTTACCCCGCGGTTCCTCGGGGGGGAATCTGTCGACTCGTTCTGCTGGTTATCACGTCTTGGGGCACCGGAGTTTGAAAACGTTTCTCAATGGCCGTTTAGGCGCCTTGGCCACCGAAAAATGGCCTCGCTCTCCACTTCTATGCGGCGGAAATATAGACATTCCGAATTCTGCCACATTGTTGACACCTTGTGTACCGTATCGTTTTGTCTAATCGTTATGCAGACGTGAAGTGCTTATGGAGTAAATTCCTCGATGTCAGTGATCTTTCTAAAGATAATCAGAAACCATGGGCTGGCATGCACTGATAGTTCCCGATAAATCAAGCCAGATCATGTCATGATATAGTGAAGTTTCAATCACACACCACACACGTGTCACGTCAGTTCAAGCGCTGACATTCTTCAACATGACTGCAAGCAGAAACAGAATAAGGGTGACGCTTGGCGCATCAATGTCTGGAATAGATTCATTTAAAATGAAATAAATTCAATTAAATTCATTCACTTCACCCCCGGAAGTAATCGGTAGAATGCTTCGAATCAAACAAGCTTTACTCTGGTGAGCTGTACGGAGACAGCAAAACGTATCTAACTCGCATCTTTTTGACATCTGACATCTTTTGAGCCGGCGTAACAAGTAAAAACATAACGTCTAACATACATCCTACAACGGTCCACGTAAAACCGGCACATGACGTCTAGGGCTGCGCAACTAGTTCGTATTGGCTTTCACTCGCCGGATATAGAATCCACAGCCACTCTGATCCTCCCCGGCCACTGAAAGGGACATCGAAACGAGCCTCGGCCAAGCCCCAGTGGCCAACGACGTGTTTTGTGGTGGCAAAGCGGATATTGTTACGTTTCAGCAGACAGTAAAAGCACAGCAGTGTCGACTAAATTCGTTGCGAGAGCCAGCAGTCGGATCTCGTTGGCCCAGGGGGACATGCCGCAACGAGCTGTGGAAATCACGCCAGCACGGAGGCAATCCGAATATCGCGCCGATGCGACCCTAGGGCCCCCCCCCCCCTCCGTTCCGCCCACCCAACGCTTATGACAAACTCCGGCTGCGTACGTGTCTTGCTTCCTTTCCGGGTCATTCGTCCACTGAGCCGGAGCGGTACGCCGGCGTGAACACCGGTGCTGTTCTGAGGTACTACAGCGCCGCCGTGTGGGCCAGTGCCGGCGGAACTCGACCCGTGACCCCATCTTCAGGCGACATGCTGGAGAGGTTGTGTGAGGAGGTGAACCAAGCCGCGCACAGTTCCGCTGCCTCGGAGGAAGGAGAGCTGCGTCGCCGGAAATCGAC